TTTATCTACAATTTTAAAAGACTTTAATCTCTATTTCAATAAAAATAGAACATTAAGATCATTTTGGATTTCGAGGAAGTTAGAATGTCGTAATAAAATCTTCACAAAATGATTTTTTGATGATTTTAATTTTAATTTATTCATTCATTCTTTGTAGACAAAATATATTCAAGAAACGTAATCGTATTCGAAAATGTGGTGGATCTTGTTATTAAGTTGCTGGTCGTATCCTTCGTGGAGTATGACTTGGTATCCTCCAGCTACCTTGAAGGCGATGCACGGGGAACAAATAGATCTCATAGATGCTAACTCTACTAGTCCCGTCTGGACAAGAAATACTGCAAGCAACGGCGTTTCGATTGATGGACCAGAATCCGTCGACTTGATTGACTCGGGGCAATCTCCCATCAATTCCGTCGATCGCGACCGCGAACCGCTGGACGAAGTAGAGCGCATCGAACCCAGGCAGTGGCCAGGCAAGCCGGATATCCTACCGACCCGCAGTACCGCACCTTTCACCACGGAAAGGTCTTTGCTGCCCAGATCCCCGCAGCCCACAACATTGGCGCAAAGAAATCCTTCGACACAAAGGTTTCTTTTCCTTTTAAAAAGGATTTTTCTCTTTATTAAAAAGATCAATAGAAATATTCGTGTTGAATATATTGAGATATCAATGTATTCAGCATCGATAGCTATTGAGTAATATTAAGTAATAATAAAGAGAGAGTGCTTCTTACGAATCAAATCTTGGGAATACGAATGTGCAATAGAACTAGATTTTTTTCGTTAATTTTAATTAAATTTTTGTTTAAAATATGACTCGCAATAAATTTTATAAAATGTTATACAATTATAGAATAAATTTATTCACATACTTCAGAACAAGCCAAGAAGGATTTGATTTACAATTTACCTTATTATAGACCTAATATAATATAGAGATATTATAATGGTAATTGTGAAATCAACTAATTTGATATACTTCGCAATTTTTGTAAGATTTCCTACGATTACTGTACCACCTCCAACGGTCACTGTCGATGAAGTCTTCTGTGATTTTGGACCAGCACCGTCAATGCCACTTTGCGAGTGGCAAAATGGCAATGGTGCTTTGGATTGGACTTCGGGAACGGGAACAGGCACCAACTGGTTGGGTGGACCATCGACTGATGCTAGCGGCTCAATGGAGGGAGGGTAAAAAAATCGCTGGAGAGATTTACCATTTAATTAATAAAATAGATATATACAACAAAAATCATATTTTCTTCAATATTAAATTAAGAGTCTTGATCTTTAACTGGAATTATAGCTAGTGACTGTTAGAAATAAATAATTACATGAATTTCTTCTTTTTATGTTATAAAGAAGTTATATATCCTTCCCATAGGATATATAACTTTTATTATACGTATATGTCACGCTTATGTTATAATATGAGTTTTGCTATGTTATTATTTATTATTTAATATTTCACTGGATAATCTTGAACATATATTAATGTGTTAGATATGCCTTTCTGGAGACATCACAGACACCTTCAAAGGATCTGAAGCTCAAGAGTCTCGGAGGTCTTTTACACAGTCCACAATTGGGCAGTACCGGGGTATCCGGTACTTGCTTTATGTTTAAATACACTATGGATGGTCTCAGTATCGCGGGACTACGAGTGCTACTTCACGTTGGAACGGACGAGTTTTCATTTAAGAAGGAACAGCCAGATGTGACAGAGGAATTGCCTGTAGAAAATATCACAGTGTCTTGCGAACCGGGAAATCTTCCAGAAATCGTGGAAGAGCGCGTAATGTGGCACGCGCAGTATTACACGCTCGGAGCATGGCAGCAGGCTCAAATACTTTATACTTACCCTGAATTACATTCGGTATTATTGTAACTTGATTCAGTCAAAATTTAATTAGTAAATACGAAGTGCTATAATTAGTATAGGAAACAAAAAAAAAATTACCTTTGTGTATATTAAAATTAAATTGATATTAGAAAATAAATTATGTTTAATGTTTTTCAAATGCTTTTGTAGTTTGTCCAAATAATGTATAGCGATTGTTCAACAGATATAAATCAAAGATATAATTTTTCGACAAAAAAATATTAAACGTACAAAATTAAAATATACATATATATATATATATATATATATATAGCATTTTCTATATATTATTCATATTTTTAGCGCTTCGTGTTTTATAATACATTATCATTGTCTAGAGAATAATAAAAATCTTGCCAATTAGATAGTTATTGAAGGCGTGCCAGTAGATTCTACGGATCCATCGCGTCTGTATCGTGGATATATCGCTATTGACGATATAGATCTGCAGCCTGGTACATCCTGCGTTGGATTTTGTAACTTTGCCGGTGGCTTCTGTGATTGGAATAATGATGCGGAAGATGATTTTGACTGGACTATAGTAAGTGCGCTACCAAGTTTTATGTAACTTTATTATTCTACGCTTTATATGATAGTATTCAGAATGTATATTTTTAGAGCCGCGGAAGCGCCAATCCCACGACCGGTCCAGCGATGGATAGTTCCAGTGACCGTGCTACAGCCGGTGGTTACGCTTTCGTCGATTCCGGATTCCCTCGAAGACCTGGTGATACGGCGAAACTCCTAAGTTCGAACTTCCAGGCAACAATGTTGGATGCACCAATGTGCATGCATTTCTGGTTCCACATGTTTGGAACTGGAATCGGTTACCTCAAATTATTTCTACGTCATTTTCGCAGTTCAGACATGCAGCTACAAGAGATTTGGGGTCTGTCCGGAAATGCCGGCAATGCCTGGTTCATGTCACAAGTTACAATCAGCTCCCTCGATGAGTATCAGCTAGTTTTCGAAGCATCAGTAGGAATCACCAGCATGGGAGACATTGCAATCGATGATATTTCGTATGGGCCAGGTGCTTGTCCTGGTAGGTTTTTGAGTGTTTGAAATTTTTTGAAACAAGAAATTAGATTTCAATGTTTGCTTGCGTAAAACTGTTCTTATAAACATCAAATGTAGTAAATTGAGATTCTCTTTCTAATAAGTTTAAAATATAGTACCGTTCATAAATTTGGGAACACTTGCAATTTTCTTGTATTTTACAAATATTCAAATATCTCAATAAAAAGAAACATAGAAAAGTTTTCAAAAATTCATTTCAAAGAGGAAAGATACAGGCTCTTAGAAAATTTGAAAAATCAATATATGAGACAAATCTCGGAATCGAATCTGGAACGCTTCGAAAGAGTAAATATTATGTATCAATTATTTTTACATTAAACTAATACTTTTTCTGATACTTCATTACATTGATGAGTACGACTTAATTTCATAAATTAATTTTCTAATTCTTTTGCATTGATTTGATAGTTTCACCTCAAGTGGCTGCTCCGATATCGCGGGATTGCACCTTTGAGATTGATGAATGTGAATGGATTAACTCACGAGATCCAGATCGTGTCGAATGGGAGAGGGTATCTACTCAGGTGTTAGGCCCGAGGAATCAGAGGAAACCATATAGCAGTGGACACACAGTTAATCGACGCAATGAATACTTCTTAGGCCTTGGACGTCTTCGAGGTGGTCCACGATCATCCGGAGGTGGTACCGCTCAATTGGTCAGTCGACAGATGAAGAGTTCCGAAGAACCGCTCTGCATAACATTTTGGTACTTTATGTTCGAGCCCTTCATTGATTCCACAGGACCTAGTTTAGGTAGAGTTTAAAAAAATTCATACAAATTGTTTGATCGAATATCTTTGGAATGAATAATTAATTTTGTAATTCTTTATGATTTAGATTTCATGACTTTCCTTACTTAATGATTTAATTAAGATTTCTTAATTTTAATTGATCCAATAATATTATCTTTACAAAAAACAAAAAATTAAAAATCTAAAATTTAGTTTGATAGAATGGATTATTATTAACCCGATTTCTCCAAAATAAATGCTGCATAAATGCAATTTATCGATACAATGAAAGCATAAATGTTTTTAATTTTATAGGAGTTTTGCGATTATACATGCAAACAGATGGTGATAGCTCAAAAACTAAACCTATATGGCAATTGTACAATAATCAAGGTCCTACATGGAACTACGCTCAAGCTAACATCAATCAAAACACAGACTTTAATATAGTGTTTGAGGGAACTTGGGGTCCAAACAGAGCTACTGGTAGCATAGGAATTGATGATATCTCCTTTTATACTGGAAATTGCAGTGGTAAATATTTTTTCCTCTTTTTTTTATTTCTTTCTTTTGAAATAAATATTTATTCCTTTTGGAGTATATAGTACTACACTCTTACTTTTAATTTTATACATTAAGTTTATGTTTTACATCTACATACAGTGAAACCAGCGAGTGCAGTCGTTCGCCCCGAAGATTGTAGCTTCGAGAAAGATTTATGCGGATGGGAAAACATAACTATTTCCGATAACGATCGTGCTGTGATGTGGCAGCGCGCATTTCAGGCCCATCGACCGGCTCAATTATTGGACAGAACTTTTGGTGCGCCTGGCGATTTTGTATTCTTTGATATTTTTACAACGAACAAGGAATCAACGAAGGTTCAGTTACAATCGCCTGTTATCAATGCCTCGCCCGATGAAGAGTTTGTATGTTTCACTTTTTGGTTCGCTGCTTTTGGAGTAGAGGAGTCCACCACTCTACGAGTGATTAAAATGCCTACCGAAGAGACTGAGGGAGAGAGTGAAAGCGAACAAGAGCAACCTGTACGTACATATTACTTATTGTACATTTTAATTTTTTTGGTGCAAGGTAAATTTTAATTTCTACTTTATTTTCATTTTATTATTAAATGTATGGAACAAGCATTTTGTTAAATGGAAACTAAGTATATAGTTTAGTTTTTCTAAATCTTTGATTTCATTATTGTAGTTATGGTCATTGACAGCCAAAGGATTAAATAATCCACGACCGGTATGGATGGCGGCACAAGTGGCAATTGAAGCACGAACTCCATATCGACTTATTCTTGAGGGAAGTGCCAGTAATGGAGGTTTCGCTGTCGACGATATAAAATTTCAACCTCTATCCTGCGCAAGTAAGACTAATAAAAATACAAGGGTAGTAGATGAGAGTAAATAGTATTAAAAAATATTTGTTTTTTTTCTCAGCTCGACCAACCAGTGCTCGACCAATCCAAAGTGAGGCTCAATGAAAAAACTCATGATTTTTACAAAATAAATTTTTCTTAACGTTGAAATAATTGTTTTCATCAAGCATTTAACATCTATGATTCATAATATTAATATTGTATTTATTTGTACTAAAAATAGAATAAAACATTTTATATAAAATAAACTATTTTAATTTTAATTTAAAAAAATGTGTTATGCAAAATCATCTTTGTATAGTCCAAAAAATTTTTATGATTGAATGAATTAGATACGTAAACGCTTATAAAAAATTTCTCTGTTATAACTTACAAACACAAAAATAAATTGTAAATTTTATTAAAATATTTTATACAAAACTTATATTATATTTGTACAAATATTTCTAGTATACAAAATTATAATTAAGATATTAAAAAGAATATTATGAGTACAATGATAAATTATATATGATGATTCTACCAAAGAAATCAGTGCTTTCATTAAATACAAATTTAAAAACTTTGGCCTTGATCTGATTTTTTAAGTTAAATCGTTGTAGCTTGTTCTTATCTTCTGGAGAAAAAGATTCTACAACTGTTAGCTCATTTTTATCATTACCAGCTTCTATATGACAATTTTTCCCAGCAAATCCACCTTGGAATTCCACTTCAAAGCTGGAAAGACTACATTCTTCTTCAAAGTTAATAAAAACCCACTGAGGACTTCCCTGTCATACATATTACATGTTAAAATATATAGTTAAATATACAAAGAGCAGATCCATAAAAAGAATTTGGTTACTTACTGCATCAGAATTCCAGCATGTTTCACTGCAATTATCAAACATATACATTTTTCCATAAGACCGAACGTTCTTATTTAGCACAGAACTCACCCTGAATAAAACATCAAATCATTATTGTAACATTACAGAGTAAATTTCTCTCTTTTCCATATTTTATTTAAATGTATTATGATAGAATATGGGAAGAGCAACTTCCTTTTTTATATAATTTCTGTAATTATTTTACTGTGTGTGTGTGTGTGCGTGCAAACATAAAACTGATAAAACTAACCGACATTCGAAGATATTTTCTGTCAACAGAGCTGACATAACGGTATCTTAATTTTTTTTTCTATAAGGAGAAATAATTATATATTTAATATTTATATATAAATCATATGAAAAGAATGCTTTTCTGTGAAAAGCATGACTTATTTGGACTTATTGCACCGCGTGCACTAGTTTAGACAGTGCAGGAACAAAAAACAGACCCTATATATCAAAGATAGGATAGAACCAGAGTCTCTCTGATAGAACTCTAGACAGAAGTAGTAGAGGATGTGGTCGAGTTGCAGCTACGAATGCTTCAAAGCACTTGCCTGACCAATCGGAAAAAAGAATTTTATTACTGACCAATCAAAAAATGCTTCAAAGCATTTGTAGCGGCAACTCGACTGCACCTTTATGAATTCAATACATTTCAATGCATTTCAATAAAATTATTTGATATTACTGCGCATGCTCGACGATTCCATGTAAAGGCTCCTTTATATTCTTAAAACTATGGATAGGAAGTCGTTCATCTAGCTTACCTTTTACTTTTTCGTACCATTCCAGCCATTCCACAATCATTCTACGAAAGAAGTGGATATTGAAAGATCTTGTCGTTTTTTGTCGTGTTGACGATTCTTTAAATTAAAGCGAAACGAGTCTGAAACGCATACAAAATCTCTGACGAGATCAGGGGGTCGATTCTGTATCTCGAAACAAAGTGAAAATTACAAAAGTGAGCAAATTTACTAGGTATTGACCAATGAAATTATAAATGAAATGTTTTAGTATTCACTCACTTTTACAAATTTCACCTTGTTAATCGATCCCCAAATCGTCGTTATACTCCACAGAACATATACTGACATATACTAAGATCGAGTGGTTCTTCGGAACTTCGTACCCGTTCGACTCTCATCGCCACTCTTCGGCTCGTCATATTGCGCGCGCAACGTATTTTATCCCCGATTCTGCCTGGCCCGGTCGCCATAATTGTTTCCCGCTTTTCTATACTAGTTTCACTCCTGTGTCACAGTCCCGTGTTATACTCTGAAGTATGGCAGAGTATCTTGACTCCGAAGCAGACGTGAGCGAGGTAAAGTCTTTTCTTGTCATTTTCTCGCCGTGGGAGATTCTACGCGAAAAAGTCTGGTACGAAAACACCATAATGACATTTGTACGGATGTATTGCAGGGTGAGGAGGAGTTGGACCAGAATGAGAAGAAGAAACTGAGGAAGCTGAAGGCAGTGGAGGAGAGTGATGACGAAGAGGAAGGTAAAGAAAGTCATGGCGAGAGTTTCTCGCGGTTTCTTTATGCATATCACATTCTCGATAGACGTCGATTCATTGAGAAACTGCCCCAAAATTATTTTGTATACAATTTTGTTTGTTGTTTTTTTAACATAGAACTTTTAAACCCCACTGTAAAAATTACTATCTTTATGCAGTGGTTAACGTTATTCCATTTATTCCTTTTTCCCTGTTCTTTGATTCTCTCTTCTCTCCTTTATTATTTGCTTTATCTTTTTAATTTATTATTGTAGGTACTTAAATAAAGATTTTTTAACAATCTGTTTTTAGAATTATTTTTGTTATTTGTTAATAGTGAGTTTAATTCAGGCTGTGTTTTGATATATACTGTCAGTACTGAAAATTTATGGTTTATATATTTTTAGTACTGGCAGTATATAAACCAGCCTCAGAGAGATATTTACTAATGTTAAACATTTTTTAATTATATATAAAGATTATATATATAAAAATATATATATATATATAAAGATTTATAAAAATATCTATGTAGCATAGAATATTTCAGCAATGTTGATACAGTATTGTTGGAATGTTCCATAAAATTTAAATGAAATAATAAAGTTGCATTTTTACAAGCTACTCAACTGATTATTTTAGTGGAAAAAGATCACTTTTATTGTAAAACTATTAAAGTCACTTTATACCTGAAAAGAACCACTGAATTTAACAATTGAGTAATACATTTAACATGTTTGTGTTTTTTATGCGTCACTTGTGATATTAACGTGTTGAATTATTGTTAATAATTATTAAGTTATTCCAATTGCACTATATCCATTTATCTGGATCAACAATAAAGGAAAAGAACAGATTAGGTTACATATATTGCGGTCAACAACTAATATGGCAAACACAATAGCATCATCAACAGCATTTGAACATTTGATATTCGTATTTGAAATCATTCAAACTACACAATTTTAATTGCTGGAATAACAGCGACAGATCTGTTGTTTCAATTACTTATTTTAGCAGCACGTAAAAAATTGTACCTTCAAACTGCTAGAGAAAAAGTTGTTTAAAAGTTTAAAAAAAAAAAAATTGATAGTAGAAGACTCAAAGAACCTATATTTGGAAATTGCTTTATTTGATGTTGCAAAAGGCATTGCAAGCATTGCTTTGATGAGATGCTTTATTTACAATTTACATTATATCTACATATAGAGATTATCTTGTTTGAAGTGAATAATAAAATTGATATATATATATATAATATATATATATATATATTTAATGTATAGATATATTTTTTTAAATTCTAATTATTAATTTCTCATCTTGCATGTTTCCATCTTCATATAAAAATATTTATTTTTTTTTAAGTTTTGTAACCTTTTTTTAATTAATTGGTTTTAAATGCTCAACGCATTTTGTTTCCATGTTTAACTTTAAAAGTGCTAAAAAATTGAAGTGATTATATCTTGATGTATCTATAATTAACTTTGTTTTTTCATAATTGAATATACTAATTTTAAATATAATAATTTTAAAAAGGAGTGATTTTTTTTTTCATATTTTGTGTGACATTAAATGGAAAATTTAAAAAATGGATTAATGCAAAAAATAGAATACTCATTAAAAAAAAAATATTTTTTTCCAATGCTAATTTTTTCCTAGTAAAATAACACTGTAGGCATGATGTGCAGCATTAACATATTATATATATATTTTGTAGATAATAAGAATCAACAAACACTGAATTTTTTAAATATTTTATATATATATAATTAATTAAGTTTACTTCTAATACATTATATTTTATTTATATTAATTTTTGAAAATATTGTGATTTATTTGTATACATTCACATGTATACATATGGTGTACACTGTACAACATTGATATGATATTTTATAGATGATGAGGATCAATTGCGCGAAGAACTGAAAGATTTGATAGACGATAATCCTATAGAGGAAAGTGAAGGTGAAGACAGTGATGGTTCTGATCATCATAAAAAGCGTAAGAAAAGTGATGATGAAGATTTTGATGATCGCTTGGAAGATGAAGACTACGATCTGATTGAAGAAAATTTAGGCGTTAAGCTTGAAAGAGTATGCTCCTATACATCTTTAATCTTAAAAAAATATAAAGAAAATGTTTATTAAACGATATTAAATATTTTACTTTGCGTTATAGAAACGTTTTAAACGTCTTCGAAGAATTCAAGATGAGGAATCAGAAGAAGAACAAGAAAAAGAAGCAGATGAAGAAAGGGATGCTATTGCTAATGAATTGTTTGAAGGTTCCGGAGATGTAAGTTACATAAATATATGAAATTCGTCACAGAAAGTGTTAATTTTGTGAAAATACTTAATAATTTTCATAACATATTGATTGCAGTATTTGTTTATGTAATCTGTACTTTGTTGTTTCTTATTGAATTTTTTGTTGAATTTTATTGTATGTACACACGCATTCTATAAACACTTGTCTATGTATATGTGTCATATTTGCATTTGTTAAATACACATGCATACTTATGTTAGGAAAGGGATATTATTATGGTATGTAATGCTTGTGTAATGTCAATGATATACGATATAAAAATGCGATATACAAAAGTATAGCATTTTCATTTCTTTGTATTGTTCTTAGGAGGATGAAAGACGAAGTGAACGAAGTCATAGACCGGAAGCGGATACCTTTGAAGAAGGTAGCGATGAAGGCGAATACACTGATGCGGATGATTTCATTGTTGACGATGATGGTAGACCTATTACAGAGAAAAGAAAGAAGAAGAAGCCAATATTTTCTGATGCGTACGTTGTGATATTTAATATCTTTAATATTTGTTATAATGTCTATATTAACATATCTATTTATCTAATTAGTATAATAGTTATATACAATAATGGTTAAATTTATTGTCATTTAGATAAAAAAGAGTTTCTTTTTCTTGTCTGTAGGGCATTGCAAGAAGCACAAGACATTTTTGGTGTTGATTTTGATTATGATGAATTTGGTAAATATGGTGAAGAAGATTATGAGGAAGAAGAGGAAGAAGAAGAGGATGAATACATGGACGAAGATGTTGATACTGAACGGCCGCGACGACCGAAGAAACAGTTGAAGAAGAAGACCACAAGAAAGAGTATCTTCGAGATTTACGAGCCTAGTGAATTGAAACGCGGTCACTTTACTGATATGGATAACGAGGTACGACATAATATATAGTAATATATTTTGTTTAGTAATACTAAACAACATATTATCGAACGGCATTGCGTAAATATAACGGTATTTTTTATATTAAATTTGAATACATTTAGTTTTTTTTACATTGACTTCAAAAGTATTACAATATAAACAACAAATTAGCGGCATTGCGTAAATGTAACATTTTACAAATCTTGGATTTTTTAATATTTAATTTTTCTATATTTTGCATATAGTTTTCAAAAAATATTACAATATAGAAAAGTATATATATTATTGTAATATAAAAAAAAATTTATATTTTTACATTAAGATGCATGACATAAGAATTAACAATTAAATTTGAATTATAATACAAACATTTTGTACATCTAAAAATTTAATACAAGAAAAAAGTATATGTATTTCTATGAAGTATCGTATATAAAAATAGTAACGACATTTTGTCGCATAAAATGCGATAAAAATTATTGTACATTCATAAATAGCTACAGTGTTTCCAAATCTGTCATAAAATTTGCTTTAAAATTGCAGATACGTAATACGGATATACCAGAGAGAATGCAACTTAGATCTGTACCAGTCACGTCAGTTCAAGAAGGTTCTGATGAACTGGATCTTGAAGCAGAATGGATCTATAAGCAAGCATTTTGTAAGCCTACAGTCTCTATTCAGGATGCTCATTTGAATGCTGAGGCTAAGGAACGAGCACGAAAAGGACCACAGACTATTGGCAAGATCAAGAAAGCCTTGGATTTCATGCGCAATCAACACTTCGAAGTTCCTTTTATATCATTCTATAGAAAGGAGTATGTGCTGCCCGAGTTGAACATTAATGACTTGTGGAAAGTTTATAAGTTTGACGCGAAATGGTGCCAGTTGCGTCAACGGAAGGAGAATCTGCTCAAATTATTTGAGAAGATGCGCAACTATCAATTGGATGAATTTATGAAGAATTCAGAAGCACCTTTGCCAGATAACGTGCGACTGATCAAAGATGATGACATTGAGCGACTGAAGAACGTGCAGACAAGTGAAGAGCTCAATGATGTCTATAATCATTTCATGCTGTATTACAATCACGAAATTCCGTCAATGCAGGAATCCGTGCGACAGAAAGAGAAGCAAGAACGACATGAAGAGAGGATTCAGCGACGTAAACAACAAATTGCTGAGGCAGAAGAAAATGGAGAGGATCCACCGGAGGAGGATGAAATACAAGAGGAAGAAGAAGTTGACGATACGCTAAAGCAACCTGTTAGA